TTGGCAAGGCCCATGAAAGCATTGGCAGGCTCGTGCAATCTTATAGCAAGGCTTGGCTACCAAAGGCGAGCTCATGGCAAGTGATGGTAAGGCACGAACAATCATTAGCAACCCATGACAAGCTTGTGGCAATCGCTGGCAAGGCCTTTGGAAGCATTAGTAGGCTTATGCAAGCTTGTGGCAAGGCTTGGCTACTAAGGGCGAGCTCGTGGCAAGTTTTGGCAAGGCATGAACAAGTATTCGCAACCCATAGTAACCTTTCAGAAAGTACTAGCAAGGCCTATAGAAGCATTGGCAGGATTGTACAGGCTTGTGGCAAGGCTTGGCAACCAAGGGCTAGTTGGTAGCAAGTGTTGGCAAGGCACGAGCAAGCCTTAGCAACCCATGGCAAGCTTGTGGCAAGTGCTAGCAAGGCCCTTGAAAGAGTTGGCAACCTCATGTAAGCTTATGGCAAGTATTGGCAACTAAGGGCGAGCTCATGTTGGAAAGGCATGAACAAGCATTGGTAACCCATGGCAAGCTTGTGGCAACTACTGGCAAGGCCTATGGAAGTGTTAGCAGCCTTATATAAGCTTGAAGCAAGGCTTGGCAACTAAGGGCGAGCTCATGACAAGTACTGGCAAGTCACGAAGAAGCATTTGCAACCCATGTCAAGCTTGTGGCAACCACTGGCAAGGCCCTTATAAGCGTTGGTAGCCTCATTTAAGCTCATGGTAATGGTTGGCAGCCAAGGGCATGCTTGTGGAAAGTGTTGGCAAGGCAAGAACAAGCCTTAGCAACTTATGGCAAGCTTGTGGCAAGTACTGGCATGGCTCATGGAAGCATTAGCAAGCTCGTGCAAGCTTATGACAAAGGTTAGCAACCAATAGCAAGCACGTGGCAAGTGTTAGTAAGGTACAAGTAAGCATTGGCAACCCATGGCAAGCGTGTGGCAAGCACTAGCAAGGCCCATGGTGGCATTAGAAAGCTTATACAAGCTTATGGCAGAGGATGGCAATCGAGCATGAGCTCCTAACAAGGGCTGGCAAGGCTCGAACAAGTATTGGCCACCCACAGCAAGCCTGTGGCAACTATTGGCTAAGCATATATAGAAGCATTGTAGGCTCGTGCAAGCTTGTAATAAGGGTTTGCAACCAATGGCGTGCATGTGGCAAGTGTTGGCAAGGCATAAACAAGCCTTAAAAACCTATGGCAAGCTTGTGACAAGCACTGGTAAGGTCCATGAAAGGGTTGGTAGCCTCATGCAAGCTTTTGGCAAGGGTTGGCAATCGAGGGTGAGCTCGTGGTAAGGGTTGGCACGGCTTGAACAAGCATTGCCATCTACAGCAAGCCTATGGCAAGTATTGGCTAGGCCCATAGAAGCGTTGGCAGGCTCGTGCAAGCTTGTGACAAGGGTTGACAACCAATGGCGAGCATGTGGCAAGTGTTGGCAGGGCTCAAACAAGCCTTTGCAAACTATTGCAAGCTTGTGGCGGGCCCATGAAAAGCATTGGCAATCTCAAGCAAGCTTGGGATAAGGGTTGCTAACCAATCACAAGCATGTATCAAGCATTGAAAAGGCCTATTAAAACATTGGCAATCTCGAGCAAGCTTGTTGCTAGCAGTGACAAGGCGTATGAAAGCGTTGGTAGCCTTGTGCATACTTTAGGAAAAAGTTAGCAACCAACAACGAGCTCGTGGCAAGTGTTGGCAAGGCATAAACCAACGTTAGCAACCTATGGCAAGCTTGTGACAAGCACTGGCAAGGCCTGTGGAAGCACTAGTAGGCTCATACAAGCTTGTGGTAAGGGTTGGCAACCAAGGGTGTGATTGTTGCAAGCACTGGCAACGCACGAATAGGTATTGGCAATGTATGGCAAACATGTGGCAAGCATTGGCAAGGCGTTTTGAAGCTATGACAGCCTTGTGCAAGCTTGTGGCAAGGCCTATGGAAGAGTTCGCATCCTCATAAAGGCATAAACAAGTGTTGGCAATTGTGGATAGGCTTATGGCAAGTGTTGGCAAGGCAAGAACAAGCTTTGGTAACCCATGGCAAAGTTATGGCGGGTATTGGCAAGGCCCGTGGAAGTATTAGTAACCTCAAGCAAGCTTATAGCAAGTATTGGTAACCATGGACGGGGTCGTGGCAAGTGTTGGCAAGGCATGAACAAGGATTGGCAACCCATGGCAAGCTTGTGGTAAAAGTTGGAAAGGCACATGAAAGTGTTGGTAGCCTCAAGTAAACTTGTGGGAAGTATTTGCAACCACTGGTGAGCTCGTGGCAAGTGTTGGCAAGGCACGAACAAGCATTGGAACACATGGCAAGCTTGTGGTGGGTATTAGCAAGGCCCATGGAAGTTTTAGCAGCCTCGAGCAAGCTTGTGGCAAGTAGTGACATATTAGGGTGAGCCTATGGTCGGTGCTGGCAAGGCACGAACGAGTATTGGCAACCCATGGCAAGCTTGTGGCAAGAGTTGGTAAGGCCTATAAAAGTGTTGGCAGCCTCAAGCAAGCTTGTGGCAATTGTTGGCAACCACTGGCGAGCTCATGACAAGTGTTGGCAAAGCACAAACAAGTATTTGCAACCCATGCCAAAGTTATGGCAAGTATTTGTAAGGCCCATGGAAGCATTGGTAGCCTCGAGCAAACTTATGGCAAGCGTTGGCAACCACTGGCAAGCTCATGGCAAGCATTGGCAAGGTGCAAACAAGCTTTTGCAACCCACGGCAAGGTTGTGGCATGACCCATAGAAGCATTGGTAGCCTCAAGCAAGCTTGTGGCAATTGTTAGCAACTATAGACGTGTAGGATAGGGAGGCACAGTGGAAGATTAAAATTTTAAAGTCCCTATCCTTATATGGACCAAACGAACCCATTTAAGTCAAGATGGATAGAAGAGTTGCCTTTTAATTCTTTAAAGTTGGCACACATTTGGATCTCAGGAGCTGACAATGTAGATCTTCTCCCTCTACCAGTATCCACACAAACAGCTCTCTAACTCGAACAGCGTGCTAGCGCTCTCAGTATCCGTTCTTCTTTGAATGTTAATTTTTCTTTCTATAGGGTGTTTTATGGCTCTCAGAGTGTTTTTGCTATTAGAACCTTTCTAACTATCTCTCTCTTCATAAGGACATCTCTATCTATATATAGTATATAGATAAGGTTTTTTGTCTTCCACTTAAAAGCTGAAGAAAATTTAATTAAATTTATCTCATAAATTTAATCCATAATATCACATCTAATTTGAATTTAGCTTATAAATTCAAATTATAAAACTGACATGATATTCTCTCCTATCATATTTTCAAAATATATATGTATATCTATATATTCGTATATACATATAATATAATATGTATATGTGATATATATTATATTATATTATATTATGTTAGTTTTAAATGTAATCTATCATATAAAATTAAATTTAAAACTAACATAATATAATATAATATATATCACATATACATATTATATTATATATATACGAATATATATACATATATATTTTGAAAATATATATATTATCTATATTTAATTTTATATATTATATACATATATCATATATATCTAATATATACATACATATACGGATATAGATATACATATATATATACATACATATATATATAATTATAGTTTGAATTTTATATTTCATATAAATTTATATATATAAATATTTATCAAATAAATATTTAAATAAATATATATATATATATAATTCATTCACCCTATATTACATTCATTGAATCTAGACATATTCTAGATTTAATGAACTTGGACATTACAGCTCGAGTTGGGCTATTCTTGTGTGCAACCCTGTAGGCCCATATGGAATTAGCAGTAGGCTAATTACGCTATTAGCCCACAAGTCATAAGTGGCCTATAGCAAGACATTGCAACTACCTAATTCACATAAGGATCAATGATCTAATGTAACCTACATGCAACCATATCACATTCCTTTTGTCACGCGATATGTTGGTCAAGTACGAGACATGAAATTGTCATTCTCCTTTACCTGACCGTTACTTTCTCAATCTTTGAGTAGACTAACAGTAGCAAGGAAAAAACCTTTCCATTGTAATATGACCATATATTTTCTTAGTCTTATTGATCAAGGGACCTAGTAATATCTCTCACTTAATGTGAGGGATAAATTCCATCTTGACCACTTATATTCCTCTACATGAATATCACTAAACTCAATTATAGCCTTTATAATCACCCGATCAAAGGTGACTTTTGATTAAGTTAAAGTTCAATAGTCATCATGTAGGAATCTATGATGATCTCAGGTTAAAGGGCTTAGTGATGTAGTTACATATGAGATAAGCTTACGACTTGTACCACACAGCTTTCTCATAGCGGGTCGATCCAGCACCTTGTACTCTTTCAAGTGCTTATGACTTTAATTTATATCTCTATAATTAATTAAAGTCATACTAGTCTTGTTTCATCTATGATTCCTCAAAGATGACCAACTAGGGACATTTAGGACAATCACTATACTTTGTCCAGGGATACAATTATCATATTGAATATGCAATTGTTATGATAATAAAAGAGAAATTCATTAAATAACATTATGCATCGTACAATGATTGGCCTTGGGGCACAATTTCCAATAAGACGAGCTCATGGCAAGTGTTGGCATGGAACAAATAAGTGTTGGCAACCCATGGCAGGCTTATGGCAAGTGTTGGCAAGGCCTATGAAAGAGTTGGCATCCTTGAGCAAGCCTGTGACAGGTGTTGGCAACTGTGAACAGGCTCATGGCAAGTGTTGGTAAAGCAAGAACAAGCATTAGCAACCTATGCCAAGCTTATGGCAGGTGTTGGCAAGGCCCATGGAAGTGTTGGTAGCCTCAAGCAAGCTTGTGGTAAGTATAACATCCAAAAAATTTTAACCCTAATTTCTTAACTTAATTAGGGTAATTAGTAAGTTAATAAGGTGTGTGGCTAGAGGGGCTTAATTTAGCATAGTTGTTATGATTTCAGCCCTAGAAGTGGGTTCAGATTGATGGCGAAAATTGATATGATAATTGGCATGGATTGGTTGTCTGCTAATGGAGCGACGTTAAACTGTAATAGAAAGATAGTTTCATTACTAGTGTACACGGTGACTACTATGATGGATGAGACTACACTGTCTGTACCTACTATTACTTTGGAGACTCCCAAGTTCTTATCAGTAGTACAAGTGGAGAAATTAGTGAAGGAAGGCTGTCAAGCTTTCATGGTGTTTTGCTTAGTACACGGAGTATATGATGGACCAATAGATAAGATTGGAGTTGTCAATGAGTTTCCTAAGGTGTTTGCAGACAAAGTGTCTAGATTGCCACCAGAGAGAGAGATTGAGTTCTCAATCGACTTAGTACTTGATATCGAGCCAATCTATAAGGCTTCGTATCGGATGGCTCCAACAGAATTGAATGAGCTTAAAAAGCAGCTAGAGGAGTTATTGGAGAAAGCGTTGATTAGACCTAGCGTTTCACCTTAAGGTTTTCCTGTTCTATTGTCAAGAAGAAAGATGGTAGCTTGAGATTGTGCATAGACTACCGGTAGCTAAACAAGGTGACAATTAAGAAGAAGTACCCGTTACCCTGAATTGACAGCTTGTTTGATTAGTTAGTTGGAGTAGTGGTATTCTCTAAGATTGACTTGAGATCTGACTATCACCAATTTAGAGTGAAAATGGATGATGTGTCGAAGATTGCTTTTAGAACAAGATATGGGCATTATGACCTTCTTGTTATGCCCTTCAGGTTGACGAATGCACACACAATCTTTATGGATTATATGAATCAAATCTCTAGGCCCTACTTGGACAAGTTCATAGTGGTCTTTATTAATGATATTTTAATATACTTGATTGATGAGGAAGAACATGCTAAGCACTTGCGGATCATGCTGCAAATTTTGAAAGAGAAGAAGCTTTATGCAAAGTTGAGTAAATATAAGTTTTGGTTGCATGAAATAAAGTTTTTAGGCCATGTAGTATCAGCCAGTGGTATTATAGTTGATCCTCATAAGGTGGATGCCGTGCTACAATGGGAAAAACTACTTCTGTGACCAAGATCTAAAGTTTCTTGGGTCTAGTAGGATGTTATAGGAGGTTTATTTAAGGATTTTCTTAGATTGCATCTGATTTGACCAAATTGACTGAGAAGGATCATCCTTTCTTATGGACTGACAAGTGTGAAGAAGCTTTCCAAGAGTTGATGTAGAGGTTGACAACTATACCTATGTTAACTATTCCAGATTTGAAATTGCCATTTATAGTGTACGCGGATGCTTTACTTAAAGGTCTTGGATGTGTTTAATGCAAGATGATAGGGTTGTGGCATATGCTTTAAGATAGTTAAGACTACATGAGGAGAACTATCCTATCCATGATCTTGAGCTTGCAGCAGTGGTGTTTGCGCTTAAAATATGGAGACATTACCTTTATAGTACATAATTTGAGGTATACAGTGACCACAAAAGCCTCAAGTATCTAGTTGATCAAAAAGAGTTGAATATGAGGCAGTGGAGATGGATGGAGTTCTTAAAGGACTACAATTTTGAGTTAAAGTACTATCCTGGCAAAGCTAATGTAATAGCTGACGCATTGAGTCGGAAGACGCTATACGTAGCATTTTTGATGATGCAAGAGCACAAGATACTAGAGGATTTCTCTAATGGACACAAGAACGTTCTTAATTTTGCATCATACAGCTTGAATGTCACAGTGATTACAAGTGAATTATAGAAAGAGTTAAGAAAAAGCACAATTAGAAGATGAGTACTTGTTAGAAATCAAGGAGGACATTGAGGAGAACTAAATGACAGCTTTTGGTTTCAGTGATGATGGTTTCGTGGTGTATTATGACTGTATGTGTGTTCCTGATGATAAGGAGATTAGAGAGACTATACTATCAGAAGCTCACGAGAGTAAGCTAACAATTCACCCTGGTGCCACTAAGATGTACCAAGATATGAAGAAGCGGTGGTGGTGGCACGGAATGAAGAGAGATGTGATTGAGTTCGTTTTTAGGTGTTTGACATATCAAAAAGTCAAGATAGAACATCAGAGGCCACCTAAAGCTATTACAACCCTTAGAAATCCTAATGTGGAAATGGGATAGTATGTCTGTAGATTTTATAATGGGATTGCCTCATACTCAGGCGAGTCATGATGTTATATGGGTAATTGTGGATAGACTGACTATGTCAGCACAATTCCTAGCCATTAGAGCATATTATACCTTAGAGAGATTTGCTGAGGTTTATGTCTAAAAGATAATACAGTTGCATGGGGTACTGAAAGAGATTGTGTCAAATCCCAATTTGAGGTTCACATCAAACTTCTGAAGAGCTTTACACCAAGCTATGGGTACTAAATTGAAGTTTAATACGGCCTATCACCCACAGACAGATGCTCAGACTAAGAGGACGATTCAAACTCTCAAGGATATGTTGCAGGCATATACTATTGAGTTTAGTGGAAGTTGAGATAAGCACTTACCACTTACAAAGTTTGCTTATAACAATAGCCTTCATGCAAGTATTTAGATAGCTCCATATGAAGCTGTATGGTCGAAAGTGTTGATCGCCTCTTTGCTGGACTGAGTTAAGTAAGAGAAGTGTTTTAGGTCTAAAATTAGTGGATCAAACCACAAAGAAGATAAAGGTAATTCGACAGAAGTTGTTGACTGCCCAAAGTCGGCAGAAGAGTTATGTAGATAAGAGAAAGAGACCGCCAGAGTCTATGGTCTGAGACCATGTATTCTTGAAGGTATCACCTATAACTGGTATTGGGAGGTCTATTTAAGCCAAGAAGTTGACTCTCAGATATATTGGTCCGTTTAAGATTTTAGAGAGGATTGGGCCTTTGGCATATTAGATTGCATTACCCCTATACTTATCTAGTGTACATAACGTGTTTCATGTCTCACAACTCAAGAAGTACCAACTTGATCCATCTCACATTATTAAACAAGAAAAAGGTAGAGCTAAGGGAGAATTTGATTTACCGGACTGAGCCAGAAAGAATAGCTGATGTGAAAGACAAACAGCTCAGAAATAAGAGTATCTATTTAGTGAAAGTGATATGGAAGGGAATGACTCTCGGTGATGCCAATTGGGAAACAAAGGAGAAAATGAGATAAAAGTATCCCCATCTTTACAGTTTAGTAAGATTTACATGATTTATTAAATTTTGGGGACGAAATTCTTAAAAGAAGGGGAGAGTTGTAACATCCAAAAAATTTTAACCTTAATTTGTTAACTTAATTAGGGTAGTTAGTGAGTTAATGAGATGTATGGCTAGAAGGGCTTAACTTGGCATAATTGTTATGATTTCAACCCTAAAAGTGGGCCCAGATCGATGGCGGCCCACTCGGGCAAGGAAAGAGGACGAACAAGTGAAGAGTTGTGTTTTGTGCCACACACCATGGTGCGTGGTTGGTCCGCCATGGTACACGGACACAATTTAAATGTAACAGGCTCATCTGTGACATGTGCCATGGCACACGGCCAAAAATCAGATATATCTGATTTGTCTCTGTAAAAAAACAGAAGAGAGAAAGAGGAGGAAAATGAAGAGCTGGGTTTTAGCTCTGCTAGGGAATGACTTTTGGTCCCATTGTTGATAGATTGGAGCTCCCAAACACCTAAGGTAAGATCATGGTACCTTCTTCTTCTTTTTTCTCTCTCATTTATGATTATTTATGGTAGGGTTTGAGTTGGGAGATGGATTTTCGGCCCATAGGAGTATGGGTCCAATTCCATTGATTAAAATAAGATTAATGAGAGTGATTTAATGTATTGGAACACCACATTGATGATTTTAGAAGTTGTTGGTCCATGAGAGCATTTAATATCCAAAATTGGCATTTATGAGGTAGTGGGGAGAGATTAATGTGTGTTATTAGTGATAATGTATATTATTGGAATCTAATGAGCCTTTGGGTATGAATGGGTAGTGATTATGAGTTGGTAAAATAGTGTATGAGGAGTTTTATGTTGATAAAGCTTAAAGAGCTAGATGATGATGATATCCTTGTGATTTAGTTGTAAAGAGGTTTATCTTGGCACCTTTTGAGCTTGTTGAAGCTTTGAGGAGTTGCTATAATGAGTGGTAAACCTTTGACCTCTCAAAGGTTTGAGGTAAACAGGGAAAACTTAATTTTTATAGTTGAATGTTAATTGTGTTTGTGAAATGTGATTTATGAGTTTAAATTGATGATGCATATTGGAAAATACTTGGTTGTGAAATGGTTTTGGAGAAGAGAAAACCTTGATTCTACCACTCTTGATGTTTTATAAAATTACTCATGATTTATAACTATGGGTGGAGAATTGTGATGAAATATGAGTTAATTATGAGCATGTCTTATGTGAGTTCATTGTTTGAGAAATGATTGTTAAAATGCATATTATGTGTGAAATGTGCATAGCATGATCATTGGCGGAAGTTCGCCTAGGGAGAGGAGTAGGTTGGTTAAAATCCACATGGTATTGGCAGTGACCGTTGGAATTAGGAATTAACCTTGGTACTGATTGTTGGAATTAAGAGGTAGCCCTTGTCTCATAGTTGATTCAGGACTATCCTACTTGTTCTACGAGGGACTCAAACCTAACTAGTCTCCATCGGTTTACAAGAAGGCTAGATTAGGGGTATGATACCCTATGGTTGTTAGTATTGAGGGAAACCGAACTACATAAGTGAGTGAGTTCACCCTAGTCCAGTAGCTCCTCACAAGTGGAAGGCTGGCTTAGCCCGTGAAGGATGTAGCCTCATGATAGCCACCAGTTTCATGTTGGAGGCAACAGGAGGATATAAGGGTGGCATATCATCATGCATATAAGTTTGCCCACATGGTTGTTAGTTTTGTGGTCCAGCACTTGTTAAGGGTACACGATTGTTATTTTTGTGACCCTGAGTTATGTTTTGAAAACAACATGATATAGTGTTTTGTTGCAAGCCCGATCACATGGTTGTTAGTTTTGTGAACCGTGGCTTAATGTTGTATGAAATTTATGTTTATGTGTATAATTGCATCTATTTACAATTAATATGTAACCATAAGGGTTAAGTGAAACTTGGTTACTAGGTGGTTGTACTCACCCCTCAATTCTCAATATTTTCAGGACCTAGCTCATCATATCCAAGTTAGGGAAAACATACTGAGGCTTAGGATTAGTGGAGTAAATCCTCTGTATGCCTCTTTTTTGCTATTTACATGTGTATTTGTTAATGTAATTGCCAAATAGGATTAATTGTCATAATTAGTGTACTACTTGCATGATTTTGTGTTTAACTAATGTATTTTGTGTCCTGGGTTAGTGAGTTTTTGTTGTGAACCCAAGGATAGGGCCAAAATACTTGTGCAAGTATGAACATATGTATTTTTGAGAAATATAAATGAAATGAAAAAATTTGTACAACTTCCCTCCCCCTCTATGTTTTGTGAAAATTAGGGTTGAGTGGTGATTTTGTGAAAGAAGTATTTTTAG